ATTTTCCAAAATAATTCTGGAAAGGGACACACCTATGTCTGTGAATGATTGTGACTGCGTGTGAGCAAGAAAGGTATGTGAGGAGGCTCTCTGCACCTTGGAACAGCCAAGGTCAGGAACCCTGTCCAGTTATTCAGAGTTGCTGCATTTCTGAGGACATCTGACCTCAGCTTCATTCCTGTTGACTCACTAGAGTGGGGAAGAAGAATGGCCATTTGCCCTTTGACCCTTGTGTTGTTGGGGCTTGGGTAGGGTTGCCAGATTGAGCAAATAAAAATACAGGCTGCCCAGTTAAATTTGAATTTCAGAGTTTAAAAAATGAATAACTTTTAATTTGTAATGTAAGTATGTCCCAAATATTAGATGGGACTTGCTTATATTAAAAAATTACTATATCTGACATTAAAATTTAACTGGACAGTCTATATTTTAATTAGGCAAGTCTGGTTTGTGGCAAAAAATTAAAGACCCATTGTGCCTGCCCTCACAGGCCCTGTTTCCCCATCTGAAGCAGGCAGCTCACCACCCTCCAGAGCTCTCAAACCCCTCTGAGCTTGGCTGCCTCCTTTGTGAAAGGAGAGAGGAGGGACAGGCCTGAAAAAAAGACATTTTACTGAGGTTCTGTCCCTGGGAGGACAAGGCCCTGCCCACTGGGAGAACTCACAGGAGCAGAGGTGGACCCAGATCTTACCTCATGTGACTTCACAACCGCCTAGTAGGCCTGTAGAGAAGACCCCCTTGGCCTGCACCCATGGAGCACTCACAACCTCGGGAAGACCCAGCCAACTCCTGTCTCCCAACTAGACCATGCTCTCCATGACAGCAGGCTAGGCTGTAGGGTGTCCGCTGTGTCCCCAGTTCCCAGTGTGGCAGCTGGTGCCCAGGAGGAGCTCAGAGAATGTCAACAGAGAGGAGAGGGGAAAGCTGTGTCCTCTGAAGGCCATGCTGGGTCTGGTGTCCAAGGAGAGTCAACAGTGTCAGGCTGTGATGGGGCCACCTCTGTGGACCTTTGTCCCCACAGTGATCATGAGTGGATGTTTATTGAGGTTGGGAATATTCTGCACCTAAAGCCAGAGATTCTCTGCTGCCTGACATCACCTCTGCACCCACCCCCACTCTCTGTCTCCAGGACCACAACTGGGCCTGTCACCCAGCACTGCCCAACAGTCAAAAGACCCAGCCCTGGGCAGAGAGCTCCCAAGGCTGGTCATCACCAACTGTGACCTTGGGCAAGTCCTGGCTCTCCCCAAATCTCAGTTTCCCCATGTTTCATGCTCCCAATGACCTCAGGACCTTTGACCTCGGTTCCAAACTGATCTGGGAAGCTTCAGAGCTCCAGGAAACAAGGCAAGGTGGAGGCCCTTGGCAAGTCTGTACTTCTGGGAAGTTTCACCAGGACATTTGGTTTTTGGTCGAAATACTCAACTAAGGACTTAAAATTGGGTATTTTAAAATACACACTATTCACCAAATCAGGTGCCTTAAGGAATAGAAATGCCAGATAATATAAAGGGCAACGAGGCTGGGCAGAACTCACACTTGGCCCTATACCTCCCTAACCCCTGTCACCCCCCACCCTCAAAACAGGAGGCTATGATCCTACCTGTGCAATATGTCAGCTGGGCAGATGATCTTGGGCAGGTGGCACAACGTCTCTGTGCCTGTCTTGGTCTACTGGGTGGGGATGCTGCCAACAGTGCCTAGTTCTCTTGCTTTAAGAGTCCAATGAGCTATCTACCATATGCTGAGCACTTACTATAGGGCTGGCATGAACACAGGGGATGGTCAGTACCAGCCATTAAGATTAGCCTCCAAATGGGGGAACTTATGGTCTTTCTGTCCCTCTGCTGTGATGTTAAGGAATACGGGGGACTCCAGCCTTCCTGGAACCCGGGAAGAGGCCACGACTTGTGGGAAGCAGATCAGACCATGTTCCTGCCCACTTAAGCTCTCCCCTAAATTGTAACCACCAACTGAATATTCCATAATATCAAGGAATTACTCTTGATATTTTTAAGTGTGATGATGGTACTGTGATTCTTATTAAAGGAGGCCTTCCTTTTCTAGATATAAACTGAGATAGTCACAGATAAAATTATATAAAAAGAGAGAAATAAGTAAGTACAATAGGATAGGGTGGGAGGAAATCTCCAATAGTTTCCCAAGGAAACATGACCCAGCCTCTCCCAGCACTCGCCCATATCTCACCTCCACCTGCTCCACACTAGCTGTGCACCAAGCCCACCAACTTCATGGACCTCGGGCCACTATTCTGGCTGCTCCCTCTCCGAGAACCCCTCTTTCCCCAGTACCCCAAATAGGAGTAACTTATTTCAATCTCAGCTAAGAAGTCACTTGGGTGGGAGTCTCCCCTAACCATTTTCTAGTACATCATCCCACGTTATATTCTTCCTAGCAGTTGCCAAAGCCAGAAACTATCTTAGTTATGTGTCTGTGTCCTTTATTTTCTGTCTACCTCCCCACCAGAATAGAAGCTGTTCTGCCTGTTCATTCAGTCCACCTCTATAATCCAGTGTAAAACGGGACCTGGCAAACTTTGCTGATTGAGTACCTGAAAGGCTGCTGCTGAAAGGGAGCCGGGAAGGAAGAGGGGCAGGCCAGGAGGGTAGAAGGAGACCTGTGGTAGAATCCCAGGGTCAAGCAGCAGTGCAGCCATGCAGGGCCGGGCGGCCTGGGCTGGCCGCCGAGGCACTCGGAGCCTGGAAGGGGCTCCGAAACTGCCGAGGAGAGGGCATCTGCAAAAGGGCAAGCCAGGCTGCGCCGGCTCAGGCCCCTAAAACACAGCAGCACGTGGCACGGCCAGGGGCACAGGCTTCGCGCGGGGAGGGGACGCACTGTTCCGGGCACCGG